TGTTACACCACTGTCCCAGATTTTGGGGAGGGTTGGGCATGTTTAACCCCTCCACATTCTGTATGTGCCTTTCCCAAGTCAGGAGCTTGTAATTTAGTGCATGGTTGTCGTTTGTTGCTGTATATCATATTTGTATTTCGTTCATTGTTTTTACATAAATCAGGCCGTTGGTTTCTCGTTTGAATTGTTTTACATTTGTCATTTTGGGGCCCTTTATAGCTGACCTGTAGTTATTAACTTCAATAACATTTGGTCTCTGGTGGAGAGTTGTCTCATTGGCAATTATACCACATCTTCTTATTTTTATATTAACCCCGCCACATTCTTTATATGCCTGTCCCAAGTCAGGAGCCTGTAGTTCAGTGGTTGTCGTTGGTTCATGTCTGTCATATTTTTTTTTCGTTAATTGTTTTGTTATAAATTAGGCCGCTAGTTTTCTCGTTTGAATTATTTCTCATTTTACATGTCGGGGCCTTTTATAGCCGACTATACGGTATGAGTTTTCGTATTGTTGAGGGCCATACGGTGGCTTATGACTTTCACCAACTTCATTTGAATTCTGGTGGATAGTTGGTTCATTAGAAATCATACCACATCTCCTTATTTTTATATAAATTGATTGTATTGGTCATACTATTCAAAATTCTTCGAAATCAGTATTAGATACAAAAATACGCCACACAAAAATGATTACTTTTCGGGAAAAGTTCTGTACAATCCATTCATAAATAATATCAATGTCTATAGGAATATCGGCATGAATAACTGAATAAATACAACTCTTTGTAACATCAGTCACCTACGTATATATTATACTCTGATCTATCTACACAAAATATATCTGTCTACTGTGATTTCTATCACCAAAAGTCTGATAGAGTTAAAATGTCTATTCGCCATTGGAGAATTCCAAACTACAAATCTTCCATTTATTCTTGGAATACATTATGTCAATATTAACAAAGAATACATCAATCTTTTCGGTAAACTATCGAATTTACATTGTTATCGCTATAGACAGCATCACAACACATATATTACATTTTTAAAGACATCGTTTATCTTTTTGATTTATATCTATATTCTAGAGAACTTTTGATAAATGCAATACAATTTATGAATCAAACAACAGTAAAACACTTTTTTTCATATTCTGTCAAAATTCATAAACAAAATGTAAAAGCCATAAAATAAAAAATGTAACTATTATTTCATGATGTCGAATAAAAACAACTGTTACATTTATCTCCGATCTCCTTACAGATATTTTTGGATCTCAAATTGATCGTGTTGTCAAATGTTGAGACCTTAAGTATCAGCTTTGCGAGTTTTGTAAGAATACCGTTTCACATGTTTAATAAGAAATGTATAACCAAAAAAAATGAACTCCAAGGTAAATTCAAAAAGGGGGAAGTTAAAAAAAAATAGATAAAGCCAAATGCTCGCCTTTATCAACCATCGGAAGGACTAGTAAAAAAACTGTTATATTCCTGACTTTGTAATGGCATTTTCTGAAGAAAATGCTGGGTTAAACCTGGTTTTATAGCTAGTTAGACCCCCATTTGTATGATTTCAGAATAATAACAAATAAGGTTCCAGCATGTCGATTTTTATATGTAATATGTCATTGACGTCGTGCAGTATATAAAACATTTTTCATTTGTCGCCATAACTTGGCATAAGACGAATAAGACAGATATTTCATAGGGATATGTTTCGTTATAAAAATGTCCTTGGGTCAAATAAAAATAAAGAACTAATATGATGGATCTCAAATAAATGGAAGCTGAAGTTAAAGTGTCAAGTTGCAATATCCATGCCTCAGTAAGACTTACAAAGCAATGGTAAATTTAAATCTGTCAATTTATATGACTACATTAAAGTTTATATTTATTGATTTTTTTTTAACTGGACAATGAAAAACGTTTTATTTTAAACTTGAGTTGAAGAATTATTAATATACAAAAGAGCTCTGGTGTTAGCACAATATTTATTGTTGGAATAAATGCTCAGTTATACTTATACCATTCGGAACAGGAAATTCTATCACATCGATTTACGCGGGTCTAATAGGTTATTTTGGTTTTTTGTTTGGATTTTTTTTATGTTGTTGGTGTTTTTGTCGGGGTTTTTTGTTTGTTTATTTTTTTAATCCTGCTAGCTAGATCGAATAATTCTCATACCAAACATGTTATGGAGGCTTCTTAAATGAATGTTACTTTTATCATAGATGTATATGTATGTGTTTATATATCTATGCTTTTATGAACAAATGTTGATGAGGTTTTTATAAATGATGTGTCTAGAAACTGCATATAAAAGTTCTAAATCTTTAATGATACATGAACATATTGGGATAGAAAACTAGATCAAATGATCTCTGTGCGTGTATCTTTACATTACCCGATGTTTACATAACACTCTCAAGTCGAATACTAATATTTATCACAAATAATCAGATTCCAACTTTATACTTGAAGCCATACTAATCCAATTATTCGTTGCATTCTTAACCATTAACAATTATCAGCTATCTATTGTTATTGTTATCTACAAGCTTTGGTGGCAGCTACTGTATTATTACAAAGAAAAGAAATAATCATCCCGTAAATCCGAACAACTAAGACATCTAACATGTTATCGTACTTTGCTTTGGGAATACACACTGATTGCCAAAGTATTTGCCGTTCTCAATGTGCAGACACATTTTGTTAGCTGCTATAATGTTAATAATGTAAAACATGAAGTCGTATTTCAACGATTTTTGTTGCTTGAAAAAGCAATCAATAACTTAAGACCCCCAAATAGATTTATCTTATTTTTATGGACCACCATCAATATATATTCTCGCCAAAAGTTAAGGATAACTTTACTTTAAAAAAAATTATGATTTCACTACCACCATTCTGTTAGTCATCTGATGAAAACAAGAAATGACTACGGGGATGACTTTTTTGTATGTCATTCGAACTTGTTTTGGTCACCATTACGGATTTTTCTATCACGTCTAGAATATTTTTTTTGGAAAATTGATGATTTTTAGTATCTATCCAGTTTACCCGGACTATCAATGATACTTTTTTTAAAAATGGATGGTACGTCAAAACATGTTTCTTGTTTTATCTCTTGATTGTTTTTATGTTGGTTGTGTTTTAGTTTTTCATCAGTTGTGCGCCACTGATAATATCATATACTTTCACGTACAAATCATAACATTCATTCATAACAAAATGTGTAGGTTTGTCAAGAAAGACGTTTCCCGCTTGTCTGTCTCCAAGTTATAGACTGACGGACTTTAAAAACGCAACACATATTTTGGTGATTTTATTTACCAAATCATGATTGATCCTCATATAACTACTATTCATGCTTACCATACTTCTATTTAGAAAAATTCAAGACCTGACTTACCTGAGGTAATTGAAAAAACCGGATTACTGAAGTCGCATGAATTTCTTAGCGCGATATTTGAAACCCATAAATGATTATTTAAGGTATATTTCTTCGTGAAACATTTTTTTCAATCTATACCCACACTGTAATGGGTGGTATATAGGCAAAACCAGAAGGTACGACACAGAACTCAAAACATGCACAACAGAACTGTTTGAGTTATCTGTCTATCATTTAGGCGTTGGTTGCAGGCAAACATTGTCTTCGACGGTGATACGTTCATTGATCAGGGGAAAACCACGGTTTCCGTGTATACCACATGATTTGAACGTTAAAGATGACGTAATCAATTCAACTTTAAAACTGCATTTTTTTTTAAAGACAATGTAGTAATGAATGAAATTTATGTTTATACAATTATTTTACAAGAATAGCATGTTTGAAAATGAGATTTCAAAAGATTATCTAGTGTTGCGTTTAAAAATCCGTCAGTATATATATAAAAAGAAATAAAGAAATCCATGTTTTGGAATTGGAAAATCGCTAAAATTACAAAGTAAGAATAGGAGGTGCATATCTTCATGTCCTGTGAAAATTATGTGCAAGGTTAGTTGAATTTTGTCCAACAGTTTTCAAGAAATTGCGGACGACGAAGACGACACAAGCCTTATGTGTCGCTACAGCTTCTTAGGCGACACATTAAATCGGCGAAATCTTATTTCAAAATAAACTTTAGCAACGTATATACACGTTGTATCTTTTACCTTTTTTTTTAATTCTTATTAACTTTTTCTCCTGGTACTGAAACTGTAATGATTCACAATCTATATTTGTCGCTGTTATTAAAGTATGCGTGTATTGACTTGAATAAAGCAAATATAGGCTGAAAGACAAGTAAACAAAAGTGACAGCAAATTAAATTACGCTGAGAAGCTGCTTCACTTGATAAATCTTTTGTGACAAGTTTTTCAATCAGTTTATCTTTTCTGTAATATATTTTACAGCCTTGGTGGTTTGACAATAGCTTGAATGTTTTTTACACAGTCAGCATGTCTCAGAAATAATTTCATTTCATGTTGTCCATATGCTTGTATCAAACGAGGTAACAGACGACGTAAAGAACATTAGAACGTCTGTGGTTTTCAATTTTAGCTCACCTGGTTCGAAGGGCAATTAATTTCACCATAATCTTTTCACCATGACAATTTGCAATATGTACTAAAATTTCAACATATCCCACGGTTTCGTGTGCTCATTTATACTAGAAAGTAACCCGCGCACGGGTATGAAGAACACTTTTGATAGATTTATTATAAAGTATGAAGCAGACCAAACTTATCAAAAGGACGAACGTTGTGGTGTGCATACCTATACTGCCTCTTTCGGCTTCGCCGGTAAGGCACTAGAACTATGAATAGAAAAGACACCCAGAGGTTTATTGCAACCTGTTGTTCTTTTAATTTTAAAATTCACTGTATGTACTAGGGTAAGTATTCCCGTAAATTGTAGAATTTGTTAACGAGTCATAAAATGCCTTTGTTTCGTAAGGTAGTCCTTATATTAATATTAACATTTTTAAAGTGTATATTATTTTATTTCTATTTCAGGAAAAGATCTAATTCATCAAAATCTGCAGTAAATGACTGTTGTATTATTTGCATAATTATGTGTCTGGCTGCAATAATACAGATATTTCATGGGAGCCCAGGATGATCATAAATGAAGATATAGAATATTTATAAAAAAAAGATACCTTTTTCTAAGGTTTTGAAAGAGAATATTTCACTGGACTGGTGATATTTGATGAAATGGAATCCGATTCTTAAATGGATAATTATATGTATATGTAGCATGTGTGTTATAGTTTCATTTTATAGAGTACACGTTGACTGACAGATTCATTGATTCTGAGATAGCCTAGCTGGTTCTACTCTGTAAACTAATTACAAGATAAGCCCTTTTATGGTAACTATCTTCAACTATGGCGTCTACATTTAGAATTATTAACCAAAAAGTATAGCCAGTATCGTAAATCATAGCATCGGAACAAAGTCATAAAATTTTCTATTTGCAATTATTACTTCAGAAGATAATTATTTTCAAAAATCTCTATACATTATTCCAATTTGAGGACTGAAATTACACTTAAAATAGTACAGATATTATATGAGAGTGATTTAACATTAAATCTTAGGACCTTTGGAGACTTCTAAATGTCAATAAAATTGTATTGTATAGATTTTGTGAATGCAACGTGTATATTAATGGGTTGATATGCATTAAAAATATATCGTGGAATTTCATTTTCATTCGAAAAATTCGACTTTACAAAATTGCATCTTTCTCTACCGATATAGATAATTGTTTAAATTTCGATGAGTGCTATTTCTAGGTCCAGTGATTTTTCTTAGTAAAAGCAATTTGTATTTTTCCTCACCATGCAGACATACAAAGTTTTTGAATTTCATATCTCGAATCTAATAACGGTTTTATGAATTATCTGAAAGGGTTTTGATGAATTTAAATAATGATCTAGATTTGAAAAAATAAAAAAATATTTGAAAAAAGTACTTTATATAATGTGTTAGAACTTCGTGAGATTTATTTTACCTTTCATGAGAGATCCTGATGATTTTACGGGCAATTATTGATGTAAATAAAATTGAGAATGGAAATGGAGAATATGTCAAAGAGACAACAACCCGAAAAAAGAGCAGACAACAGCCGAAGGCCACCAATGGGTCTTCAACGCAGCGAGAAAATCCCGCACCCGGAGGTGGTCCTCAGCTGTCCCCTAAATAAAAAGTCAATTATTAAAGAAGCTTTGAAGCAAATTAAGAGGGAAATAATGTTATTTTCAACAGCATAACCAGTTATGCATTTTTAAGCAAACAACATACAATACATCCATTTTCTATTTAGTATTCAAATGTTATACTATTATTTTAGATCCCTTTTGGTCATATAGCCCTTCACGGTTTCATCCTTGGCTTTCACATATTTAGTTTTGAGCGTCCCTGATGAAGGTAAATCTAGAAAAGCGCTTCGGACGCATTAAACTTCTATAAAGAAGTGTTATTATCATATTTTATTATACAATCGTTTATTTGCATTTTTGGTGATTAACTTTTATTTGCCAAAAACAGAGGATTGTTTAAATGATATTCTGTGACTAGGTTTACATTTACATATTACATTTTATAAAAGGTCATTTTGCTCTATCCACATGGCTTGGTCATTCATTTTATTGTAAAATTGAGATTCGTATATAGTAGGAGAGTCACTAATGATTTATTTGTTCAGCACGTTTACAAATGTTTTGAGTTATATGATAATTCCATTTTTTAAAACCTGTATTAAAAATGATATGAATACCAGATGGTTGGGGATTACAACATCAACACTTGTAAAAACTATATTTGCAACTGTGATTTGATATTTGTATGCATGTAATTTGCTAATGTGTTCAGAAATATTCTAACTAATTTAACAAATTAAAATGATAAATATACCAAAATCAATATTCATGTCTAATGTATTTATTTATTGAGTAAGCAGGTTGTCTGTAATTACTACTAAAGGTTGATTGACAGATCCAAATATCTCACAGAATTAATTTTTTTTTATATTTTTTTTTAAACTGAAACTAATTGAATGTGTTTGTTTGAAGCATGATGAAGGAAAAAGTTACCAATTACTCAATATACTGTTGAAAGACATTCTGTCATATTTCTAACTTAGTTCTAGAATATTTGTTTTAAAAGAGGAGATAATCTGACACTTCAAAAAGGCAACAGACACACCATCCATTACTGACCAAATACATTTTTCCTAATGTTATTTTAATAACGCAATTAGTATGTTGCAATGCAGTACAACATGTATATTCACAGATTGACCATAAGTCTAGCTTGGTCAATTAAAACAGATTATAATATTTTCTGGTAAACAGTATTACCATATACAAATTTAAGAACTAAAAAATCGTATAATTCAAAACGAGCTCAAATTAATAGTAGTCAACCGATTCCTGATAATGTTCTGCGGTATCCTATTAAAACATGTTCTAACAGGTGTGCATATTTAAAACCTATGCATACAGGTCATCATATATACATGTGTCAACCACCTAAGAAAAAGAGGTAGGGCAAATTTCCCCTTTATTTGTTTGACTCGTTTGACTCGAATAGTCAAAATTGGAAGGCATGAGTCTACATTTAGTCTTAAATACATGATTTTTTTTTATTAGTTTTTATTGACTTTGAACTAGCTTTCAGTAACTGCAAGTCCTCTCATGTCTGTACTTTGTGTCTTTTGTCTTTGACCTATGCATACAGGTCATCACATATATATACATATGTCAACCACCTAAGAAAAAGAGGTAGGGCAAATTTCCCCTTTATTTATTTGACTCGTTTGACTCGAATAGTCAAAATTGGAAGGCATGAGTCTACATTTAGTCTTAAATAATTGATTTTTTTTATTATTTTTTATTGACTTTGAACTAGATTTTAGTAACTGCAAGTCTTCTCATAACTGTACTTTGTGTCTTTTGTCTTTTTGTTAGTTGTTTTTGTACTTTGTATCGATCTGATGAGTTAATAGATATAAGAAGATGTGGTATGAGTGCCAATGAGACAACTCTCCATCCAAGTCACAATTTGTAAAAGTAAGCCTTTTCAACTCATTTTTATAGTTTGATCTAATGTTGTGCCGTGAAACCAATCACAGGTTAGGGAAAGGCTGGGGAGCCCTCAAACATGTTAAACATCGCCACATTATGTATGAGCCTGTCCCAAGTCAGGAGCCTGTAATTCAGTGGTTGTCGTTTGTTACTGTATGCCATATTTGTTTTTCGTTTATTGTTTTGTACATAAATCAGACCGTTAGTTTTCTCGTTTGAATTGTTTAACATATGTCATTTAGGGCCTTTTGTAGCTTGCTGTGCGGTATGGGTTTTGCTCATTGTTGAAGGTTGTACGGTGACCTATAGTTGCTTACTTCTACGTCATTTGGTCTTTGGTGAAGAGTTGTCTCATTGCCATTATATCTTCTTATTTTTATAGCACTAACTTTAAAAGAGGTGTTGATGCGCATTTTGAAATGACACTTATATTACCTTTTACCTATAACCAACAGTACGCTTACCATCCGTACTTGTATGTTTACCTCTTCGTCAGCTTTATTTTTATTGTTCTCTCGAATTATTTACATGCTACAAGTCTTTATGAATCATATAAATTTATTTATTTGTATTCTATGTCAGTAATTGTCATGTGTCTATTCAGTAATACGCCAAGATTCTTTGATCTTATATCCTATTTTTGTTTCTAAATTTAAGTAGATAAATTGGTAAACAGAACGATTTTAAACAAACAAATATACTTGAACGAAGATTTGAGCTATCAAATTGTTTCTATCATATATGGTCTCATTTCCAATGCTGAAACAACTATATCACAGATGCGATATACAAATGTGTTTCTTACGGTACAGTCTTGTCTATCCTTTGTCATAACAAAAGTTGCGTTAATTCATTCGGAAAAAATTAGGTTATAAAATTTATATAACTGATGGTTTATGAAGTTGGTGATGTCTTATATAAGTGGTCTTATATCTAGATGCTTCGTACAAGTATCTAGATGGTTTTTAAAAACATCCAGAAACTATAGCGAACTATCTAGATACTGTTTTCCATCTAGATATTTTCAACAACCACCTAGTTCCTTTTAATTAGTATCTAGATGGTTCGTACAAGTATCTAGAGGGTTCGCACAAGTATCTAAATACTTAGCAAAAGTATCTAAATACTTAGCAAAAGTATCTAAATACTTAGCAAAAGTATCTATATGCTTCGCACAAGTATCTAGATACATTTCAAAAGTATATAGATAGTTATGATGTCAGAAAGTACCTAACAGCCAAGTACGTCCATTCCCCAGGACCCAACACGATCGTGTTTCTGCAGAACAGAATAGGACGTACTTATGACGGTTCGTGGCTCTATAAAAGGTCTTGGTGCTTCATCAGGTGTCCTGACCCATTCCTTTTAATTTCTTTAAAGTCGGAATAACGAGCTAGTCAGAAAATCTTTCAAGTTACGATGTCTACTGTATCAATCATTGGTGGTTTGGCAAAAAGTGCCTTACACTTTTCATCCCGTTGTAATTTTCCATAATGTTTGCGCATAGTTTTATTAATATCTCGTATTTGAAAAGTGAGATTTGGTTATGAATACCAGAGGAATCTGTTTATAAAGAGTTGGTTCAAACTTTGTTGGAAGGACAAACACTAATTCACTCAGCTTGTAGGACTACCGTATAATGATCACTTATAAGTAAATATTTTAATAATAATTTCAAATCAACATATCTATTTTTTTATTATTTTTAAAGTTTTTACGTATGATAGAAAATAAATTCTATATTGCATATGAATACAACTAAAAATAAGGTACGCGTTGGTAAAAGTACGAGTTAGTAAAAATCGGGTACGAGTTGCTCGGCAAAGGTACGAGATGACATAGATCCACCGAAAATAGTCTGCTAAACAATATTATGATAAAATACAATATTTTTTACTCAGAAACAAAGTCGCTATCGTCATCATTTTCTTCCTCCCTCCTCTTTCTGGTTCTATAAAATTGAGAATGGAAATGGGGAATATGTTAAAGAAACAACAACCCGACCAAAGAGCAGATAACAGCCGAAAGCCACCAATGGGTCTTCAACGCAGCGAGAAAATTCCGCACCCGGAGGTGGTCCTCAGCTGGTCCCTAAATAAAATTGTGTACTGGTTCAGTGAAAATGAACGTCACACAAAACTCCAAAACATATAAAGGAACTAAAATTATAAAAAAACATACAAGACTAACAAAGGCCAGAGGCTCCTGACTTGGGATATGCGCAAAAATGCGGCGGGGTTAAACATGTTTTGTGAGATCTCAACCCTCCCCCTAGCCAATGTAGAATAAAGAAACACATAGCAATACGCACAGTAATAAAACTAAGTTTAAAAGAAGTCCGAGTCCGATGTCAGAATAAGTAACAAAAGAAACTAAGCTAATTATATAAATGCAGACTTCTTCTCATCAATTGTTGATATCTTTCAACATTCGACATATCAGCTGTGCAGGGAATTAAGTTTACGGGGAGAGGCACTGCGTGTTTCCCTCTCAAAAGTCCCGCGAAATGTGCTACTCAGTAGAATAAGAAAAATCAAATTCCATTGGTTAAAATAACGACAGAATACGAAAGATTTAAAGACTTTTCGACCATCTAGATACTTTAACGAAGCATCTAGATACGTAAACGAACTATCTAGATACTTGTGCGAAGCATCTAGTAGATGGTTGTGAGATGTATCTCGAAACTTGTGCGATGTATCTAGATGCTTTCAATAAGTATCTAGATGGAACCATCGCTATTTTGACATGAACGGCCATAATTTAGGGTTAGATAAGAGTAGATTACCAATCCGCTATTATGCGGGATGCCTAATCACTTGATTTGACTTAATAAAATATTTTATATATAGGAGCAACACGACAGGCGTAATTTGTGGAGCAGAAACTGCTTGCCCATCCGGAGCACCAGAAATCACCCGCGGGTTTTTGTGGGGTTCGTGTTGCTCAGATTTTAGTTTTCTATGTTGTGTTTCGTTTGTGTTTTGATCGTTTTTCGTTTGTTTTTGTTTTTTTTTTTGCCTATGTGTTGTCAGTTTGTCAGTTTGCATATCGCTTTGGTATCTTCCGCCCTTCTTTTAAAGTAAAAATATGTTCCATATTGGTCTTTAAGTATATCTTACCTAATGTAATTCGACATCGTTATGCAAAGAGGAATTCCAAATGTTGATGTAAAGACAATGCTGTATATATTTGTATATATAGCGATTATTCTGTTAAATAAGGCCACAGTAGTGTATAGCTGTTTAAATCTCATACTAGTACATCGATTAAGAAGACAAATCAAGGTAAACAACAAAAACTAAGGGAATCGCATGAAATCCAAAAGGACGAGATATGGTGCGTTGACAGGGTAATCATCTCCTGTTATGCATGCATCACCCGTCATGCGAATCCACACTCTATCAAAGCACAGTAAGTAGTTAAAGCAGTTAAAGCATAGTAAGTAGTTAACGCAGTCAAAGCACAGTAAGTAGTTAAAGCAGTTAAAGCATAGTAAGTAGTTAAAGCAGTTAAAGCATAGTAAGTAGTTAACGCAGTCAAAGCACAGTAAGTAGTTAAAGCAGTTAAAGCATAGTAAGTAGTTAAAGCAGTTAAAGCATAGTAAGTAGTTAACGCAGTTAAAGCACAGTAAGTAGTTAAAGCAGTTAAAGCACAATAAGTGTTAATCTTTTTACTTAAATTCAGTGGGAAAAAGCTGGTAGTGTACGTTTGTGCTATCTCGCCAGTAGTATACTACTGCGTTTTACGCATTACTTACGAGGAGAAACTTTGCCGGGCTACTTTACATAAAACGAAAAGAGAATATCTTTGTTGTAATACGTATAAATTTTATATAT